CCTCTCCCTGCCCCCCACCTCCCTCTCCCTCCTCGCAGTAGGGCCCATGCCCCATGACCATGTTCCGGTAGAATGATTCAGTGTTGCCGAAAGCGACAAAAGCGCCCTTCCGACCGTGCTCCCCGCTGCTGCTGAGGGAGCAGACGACCTTGACGTCTCCGCAATAGTGCGTGCCGTGCGAGCCAATGTTGTCCGCGTCCACGTCGGGTTGTTTGTTGTAACTCTGACCGAGGTGGGCTTTCGGCTCCATTCGCACAGCGGTGCCCCACGCGGCGCGTAGGGCGAGGATGAGGCGTCGAAGCGTGTACTTGTGTCTGGTGTTGTGGCCCTGCTGCGGTACGTTGACAGCAGCGTCGCCATACTCGTCGTGGGTCTTCCCATTCCGAGTCTTCTTGCCCGCCGCCGCGGCCTGGCAGGCCACGTCGAGGGGGAGACCCAGGCGGCGCTGCACCGAAAGACGCATCGCCCAAGTCTCCATTCGCATGTCATCCCGCATTGGGATGGCGTTGAGGAAGGCGCCGGCGCCATCCTGGCTCACCGCCACGAAGCGGACTGCCTCCCGCCAAGCCGCATGCCTCGCCCGCTCCCTGCCCTTGGCCTGCGCCTTGCCCTTCTTGCCGCGAGGAGCGGACCGCGATCCCTTGGAGCCCTCCTGCCTTAGCTCGAGGGCGAGGTCGCGCCAGTTCCTGTTGTGGACCACCGTCGTGAAGCGCCGCTGCGCCTGGTGTAGGAACTCGTGCTTGGACGTGAACTCGGCGAGGGGCAGCAGCTCCTTGGCCTGGACGAGAGTATGCGGACGGAAGCGCGAGAGCGCCACCCTCGTAGCCGGCTCCGGCGGCCGCGCGGAGGCGCGCAGCTTCTCGCCCTCGTCGGGCTCGTCCCACGGCTCCACCTCGACTTCCGGGGGCCTGCCCGTCGTGCCACCGACCAGGTCAAAGTACTCCGCCTCCGTCTTGTCGTCCCACTCCTTCCACGTCGCCGTGATCTCGCCGTGCTCCTTCTTGAGCCTGTCATGCGCCGCCCGCAGCTCGTCGAAATCGGAGCCCGGCGCCTTGCTCACGTCAAGGTCGCGGAAAGGAGCATGCAGCTGGCGCATGGGCCCAGCGACGAGCGCCCACGTGCCAATCCACGCCGGCTCGCGAATGTCGACGGCGCTGGTGAGGCCCATGCCGCCCATCTTGACGGGCAGGCGCGCCTGCTTGCGCGCGCGCTCCCAGCGTGTGCCGGCGGCGCCGACCCGCGCCCCGCCGACGAGCTTGTATAGCGCCGTGTCAATCAGCTCGTCGTGCCTCTCCGCTGCCGGGAGGGTGACCGACGGCGGCATGGCGCGAAGGAAGAAGGTGAGCGTCGTGTTGCTGCAGAAGCGCAGCAGGACCTGCATCACCTGCTGCGCCGTGTGGATCTCCTTCGTGTCGCGCAGCTTGAGGATGCCCTCTAGCGGCTTGAGCGCCCTCTCGACTCTCGCCACGAGCTCCTTCTTCCGCCATTCGTCATCGCCGAGGTACGCCCCGAGCACGCGGATGCCTCGCAGGGTGCCGCCCGCGTACTTGCCGTCGGGAGGCGCCGCCGGCGTGCCCCTCACGCTCGGGTAGTCGCGCACCGCCTCGAGCGACGCGGGGTCGGGAGCCCAGATCTGACGCTTGCTGACGTTGCTCTCCACCCCGCTCCACTTCTGAGCAAGGGCGTCGCCTTCGAGCATCGCCTCGAGCGCGGGCCTCGGCGCGTCCGCGACATAGGTGTCATCAACGGGCTGCTGCGAGGGCTGCTGCGAGGGCTGCTGCGAGGGCTGCTGCGAGGGCCCCTGCTCGGGCTGCTGCTGCTGTGAGGGCTGCTGCTCGGGCTGCTGCTCGGGCTGCTGCTCGGGCTGCTGCTCGGGCTGCTGCTCGGGCTGCTGCTCGGGCTGCTGCTCGGGCTGCTGCTCGGGCTGCTGCTCGGGCTGCTGCGAGGGCCCCTGCTCGGGCTGCTGCTGCTGCTCGGGCTGCTGCTCGGGCTGCTGCTCGGGCTGCTGCTCGGGCTGCTGCTCGGGCTGCTGCTCGGGCTGCTGCTCGGGCTGCTGCTCGGGCTGCTGCTCGGGCTGCTGCTCGGGCTGCTGCGAGGCGAGCCTTGTGCCTGGAGGCCGGGCCGTGGCAGCAGCAGGAGGCTCGAGGACCAGGCAGTCGCGTCGCAGCGGCCGGCCGGGAGAGCTCTGTTGGGGTTGGCGCTGGTCTAGGGCACCAGAGCGTCGTCCATCAGAGCGTGGCCCACCGGGCGGCAGCGCGTGTACCGAGCTGAAGTCCGTGCGACCGGTGCCTTCGGCAGCGGCCGCGGGCGGCTGCAGCCGCTGAGGATCTCCAGGTCGGCTCCCACGGTGGCTGCCGCCAAGGGCAGCAACCATCGTGGGGACGCGCGAAACTTTTACTGAAAAAGAATACACGTACAATGGGATGCGAGTTAATGCGCGGTTGGGGGGGGCTGAAAAGGGGAGCTCCCTCTCTCCCCACCCCGAGGACCTCTGCCCAAGCTGATGGTGCCCAGCCTAGGGGGTCTCAGGGGCTGTAGAGCCACACCTAGGAGAGGGGGTAGCTCACACCTTGTGGGCCGCACTGACCCTTCTCCCACGTGCCCTTGCCCGCCCCTCTGACCGCCTCCCGAGAGCCCCGACTTTGAGGGGCTGGTGAGAGCCCACACCGTTGCGCCCTCACCTCACGCTGACATATCCTTTGGGAATGCCCATGGGCTCTAGGGACCTGGGGGCAGCTTTGCCCGCGGGTGCCATGCTGGGCTTTGGTAGCCATTCTCTCTGATTCTCCGGAGAGGCCGGAAAAGTGGCTAAGGTGGCCTCCGCTCAAGGATCGTTGGGATTTTCTGGTGACTCAGGAAGCTAAGGTCTGCGCCGAATAAAAATCGGTTCCGTGCTGCCCGCCCCCGGATACACCTGGCACAATTTATTAGAAGTTAAGCCGCGCACTTCCGGCCGAGAATAAAATCCCTCTGGTCTCTCAGCCCACTTGCCCATAGCCGCCGAGACGGCGCGCTCTGCTGACTCTCATCTAGCACCCTCTTGGGGCCTCTCCTGACCGCTGTGGGCCTCTCCAGACCTCCTCTTGCCTTTGGGAGTACCCCTCCCAGTCTACTTCCTAGGACACAGGCACAGGTTTGCATAATGCGAGCTTTTTCTCAAGGGCTATAGTGCAGAGAAGAACTGCGCATTAACTCGCATCGCATTGTAGCAACCACTTCTTTCCATGGTCAACATGGCGATGCGCGCGTGTTTGCGACAACCATGGTCCGCTGGGTACACACCCACGTCTTCGAGGACAGCTTGCACGCCTCGTGGAGCGAGCGCGCCTCCTCTGGCGCCCACGCCAACCTGTCCGACTCGCGTGCAGCCGGCCGGCGAGCGCCTCGCGGCAGCGGCTCTGGCGGCCTGCGTTGTGCGCGAGTCCTGCGCACGAACCTCCCGGCGCATGGCTCGCTGCAGCTCCGCGCCGCCGGTCCGATGAGGCACGGCCCTATGGTCGTCTCCATGCGCGTGCACCTCCCAACCGCCGCCGGCTGCGCGGCGTGCTCACGTGCCGGCTGCCTCCAACGCCCAGGGTGGCGTTGTGGCGGCGACGCCTGCCTCTCGCTACGCCGCTCGGGCCAGCGCGAGCAGGCTGCACGCTTCGCCCCGCTGTGCGCTTTTGGCGACGTCGGCCACGGCTGGTCGCGCATCTCTGCTGGCGCCGGTGCCCGCTCTCCTCTGTCTCGGTGAGAGTAGCCGTCATTCTCCGCACAGCCGGTGCTCCTTCCCCGCAGGTCTCTTCGCCGGCGGCAGGGCCGGCGACGGCTTCGACGAGATCGTGCTCCTCGCCGGCGCCCGCCCCGTCATCCTCTCGCTCGACGACGTGATGCTGACCAGTTCCGCACCGCCGCCGCCGCTGCTGCCGTTCCCGCCGCCGCTGCCACCGCCCGCGGCGCCCGCCCGGGGCTGGTGCTCCTACCTCTCCTCGGAGCACGCGCGCGCGGGAGGTGCAGCGCTGCCGCTGTGTGCGATGGACGGGGACCACCTGCAAGGGCGCTGGCTGCGCAACTGCGATCCGGCAGCCATCCGGCGGCCCGAGAGGTATGCGTACGGCTCGCCGCTCCCGCGCACAAACGGTTCGTGGGACTACCGGCTGTGCTCGCGCATGGGCTACGCGCAGCGGGCGCGCACGCGCGAGGCGCTCGCTTGGAGCTGGGTGCCCGACCAGTGTGCGCTGCGGCAGGTAGACGGAGCCGAGTTTGGCGCATGGCTCGCGGGCCGGCGGCTGCTGTTCTGGGGCGACTCCCTCTCGGGCCAGGCCTTCTACTCGCTCCTCTTCTCGCTCGGCGCCGAGGTGGAGCGGGTGGCCGACTTGCCACCCGAGCCCGCCGCCCTCGACGCTTTCCTCGACGGCCGCACCGGCGGCCCTCTGTGCAGCTACGGCGGCGTCGGCGACGAGGGCGGCGCGCTGACGGCGGCGGCGTTGCGGTCGGGCGGCACACTTGTCAAGGTGCTGGGTCACGCGCCGATGGTGGACGAGCTGCGCCGGCCGCTCTCCGCGCCTTGGGCGTGGTGGGAGCCGCTGCTGCGCCGCGCCGACATCGTCGTGGCGAATGTGGGCCACCACTACCGCGCGCTCGACGGGCGCTACGCCCGCTACGGCGCGATGGTCCGCGCCGCTCTCGCACGTTTTGACGCACGCATGCCGCCGCACGCGCACCTCGTCTTCCGCACGTCCAACATCGGGCACTTGGGGTGCGAGCGCGCCGCCGCGCCGCTGCCCTCGCGGGCCGCTGCATGGAGCGCATTGGGTGGTTGGGAGTGGTCTGCGCCGCCCTTCCAGCCTGAGTACTTTGGCCAGGCTCGTGCGGGCGTGGCGGACGTGTACGATTGGCGCGCTCCGCCGTCGCACGAGTCGCTCTGGGCCACCCTCGCTGCCAGCGCGGCGGGTGGCGGCTTGCGAGGCCGCATCGCGCTGCTCAACGTCTCCCACCTCGATCTGCGCGCTGACGGCCACGTGGCGGATGCGATGGGGCTGCACGCCGACGCCAGCAAGGCGGCCAAGCCGCCCGATTGCCTCCACTATTGCTTGCCCGGCCCGGCGGACGCGTGGGCGCACGCAATCTACAACCTGCTCCTCAATAACCCGCGTTATAGACGGCGGAGGAGCCGCACGGAGCGACCGACCAGCGGGTCTTGCTCTCCTCCACGGCAATGCAACGGCTCTGGTTTATAGTACTTTCGGTGGATTATTACGCCGCACTGTCACACCCTGGTAAATCGCAGAAGAGACTTTTCCTTGACGCCGGGTTTTTTGCCGTTGTCTCCACTTTGTGCACATTTTCCGTTTCACGTGTTGTCTTGTGTGTGGGGTGTGGAGCTCGGTTCGTTTTGTCGTTCTCCACGCGGTCTACATCGTCGGCCACTGTACACCGCACAACCGCACAAGAAAGAGAGCCACACCCCGCTAGGAGTAGGACACACACGTACACTAAGTAACACTTCGCTCATGTGAGATGTGTCGTGATCGATTCGTGCGCTTGACTTCCTCAGAGAGGAATGGGAGCCGCGAGAGAGGAGCGAGTGGTGATGATGAGGTGTGTTCTAAAGAAGTTTTCTCTAAGACTCTACCGCGTCTCTCTCCGTACTCCGACTTTGAAGTCTGATCAGATCTCTGTCACTGACTCCGTCTCTCTCTCTCTCTCTCGACTCTCGACGCTCGTCACCCAAACCCAACCCACAACTTCCACCATTTCTCGAGCCTGTGCAAAAAGCTAAAGGACGAGCCGAACGTATCGCCGCACTCGGGCTTTGGATCCGCACAGCGGAGCTCATCCCGGCCGACTCGCGAACTCCTGAAGCTTTTCGGTGCCAGCTTGCAGGTTGGGGGAGAACACTTACTCGTCTCCGGGAGGAGCCTAGGGAGGAGCCTTACCAGCGAGCTCTTGAACTCCATCCGGTCGCTTGCCATCGTTTCGGATCACAGTCGACGGCTGTCCCCGTGTCCTGACCTGCAGCTGCACCCGTGCGTTTTGATGGAGTCAACGTGGTCAGAGGTCACAGTCGCAGGCCGTTGCATTCACCTGCTTACGCCAACAGCACAGTCCATTGCTTCAGAAGTTGGTGCAGCTGACATCGATGGACCTGGCGATGCCGAGCTCCACACGTGGGCAGTGCCGTGGGAGTCAGGCCTATTTGCGCAGATGGCACTCTGGGATCTGTCCAACCTCGATGTGACTGACCTCGGTTGCGGTCTCGGTCTTGCTGGTTGCTTTGCTAGCCTGCAGGGTGCGCGCTCCGTCCTCTTTGCTGACCGCTGCGAGGCCGCGGTCCGCTGCGCCCTTCGCTCCGCTGCCGCTTGCCCTGGCGGCGCCACATGTCGCATCCATGGTCGGGATGGCTGCTGGGCCGGTGCGTCGGCGTGGCCCAGTTGCGACCTCCTCCTAGGCAACGAGGTGCTATACACTGCCACAGCCGTCGAGCAGCTCACAACGCTCGTGCTATCGCCTGCGCTGCGTCCAAACGGCATCGCAGTCTTTTGTGGCTGCGACCGTGGCTTGTGGGATCGTCTCGAGGACTCCCTCACAGCGGCCGGCCTGCACGTGCAGTGCCTCAACGGGTTCGTAGAAGGTACCGCGGGGTCACTGCGGCGGCATCCAAGTGTGCTTCTCCTGGTCTCCAAGCTCAGTAGCGAGGGCCTGCCGCGGGAGGAGCTGAGGAGCGTCGCAATCAGACCGGAGGCGTGGCTGGAAACGTGCTCGGAGAGGCCGAGATTGGCACCACCCGCGCTCGTCGCAGCTCCGCCAGCCCCTCCGTTTATGCTGACCACGCCGTCTGTACCGCCGCCATCGCCACCCGCGCCGCTACGCCTGCGCCCTCTCACCACTCTCACTCAGGCCCCGGCGGCGGCCTTGGCAGAGCGCTTGGAAGGCTTGGAGCACGCGCGAGCGAGCTGCGGCGCCGAGCATGCCTCGTGGATGGTCGAAGCTGTGGTGGGAGAGTGGGCACCGCCGGCTGCTCCGAGATCCCACTTGTCCACTGCCGTCGCGACGCCGACGAGCTTTGGCGTGCAGGTCTGTGCCTCGTACTTGCCGAACCTTGCCGCTGCCGAGCTCGGTGCCCCGCTGCGAGCCTTTTGTGCGTGCCTGATGGACGAGGTGCAGCAGCTCATGCACGAGCCTCTCCAAGCACTCGGCGCTGCACTCGCGGCGTCGGTGACGACGCGTGGCCTGCGGCTGCAGCTTCATACCATTCTCACAGTCTCGCGCACGCCAGCTGAGGCCGAGTACCGTCACGAGCTTCTGCACGCCGACGCCTTCGACGGCACTGTGCTCGCGCTGGCCTTCTTGTGCTCCAAAATGGGGACCCGCCTCTTCCCGAACGCACGCTTCGTCGAGCCGCCGCTCGAGCAGTTCCTGCGAGGTGGGTTGGCCGAGGGCACCATACCATACCCCGGAAAAAGTTGGAACCCAGTGTTCGCGCTCTGAACCTTGATCCAGGGCCTGACCCACATGCCCTCGCGCGCGCGAACCGCTTTCGACGCTCCGCCCACGGACATACTGGCAGAGCTGCCGCATGAGCTGCTGCTGCGTGTGCTCGAGAGCGTCGACGACTTCTCCGACTGCGCCGCCTTCAGCCTCGCGACGCCGCGCCTGGCCTCCTCGCCCATCGCCGTGGGCTCGCGCGGTTCGTGGACCTACGATTCGCCATTGCGATGAGGCAGAGCGCGCGGGCCGCGGGCCCGCGGCCGCGCGCCGCGGCACGCGGGGGAATATTTGTTATTTCTCTCTTGGAGCACTTGGAGTGCAGTCATTAGCCTCACATCCAGGGCCGGGGAGCTAAGAAGCGCACCCAGCGGGCCGGATGATCGGGATCGGGTTACGGGCTAGAGAGCCCTAGCCCTCTGCTCTCGGAGCACCGCTTCGGGCGTTCGGACCATGTCCCTCACCGACTTGCTCCGGTGGCACGTGGACAGGAAGGCTCGTCGCATCGCGTCGCTCTCAAAAATCCACCGGTTTGGGATTTCGCGCAATCGCTTGACTCTGAAAAGCTCGCCTATCCCTGCGGTGAGCGCTGTGGTCGCCGCAGATTGGCTCCGACTTGACGGGCGCATGGAGACGTGATGCCTCCATGCGCCCGTCGAGGCAAAATCGACATGCGAGGCGATCTTTGGCCCGCCAGAGGGATAGGCGGCGTTTTGGGCGACAACAGCGCTGCGACCGCGAAGTGGCGGTGGACATGCTCCCATGTTGCCGACGCGGCGCCGGAGTGGCCGACGCTGCTCGCCGCGACCACAACGGCTACTCTGGGCTAGTTCCAATTCACTCTGACACGCTAATCTTGAAAACGCGTCCAACGGAGCTCCGTGTTGCTCCCAGCGCCCTCCCCCGCGCTCCCTGCGGCCATGGCCGATGCTCCTAGTATGAGGGGTCATCTGGCTACCGCGAGCGCGACCCAACTCGCCGACATCGTCCGATGGTTGTGCCTCAAAGTCAGCCTCCGGAGGCTATCGTGGGGTCGAGCGGCGGTAGCCGTGACATGTGGCCAACGGAGCTCTGTGTTGCTCCCAGCGCTCTCTCCCGCGCTTCCTGCGGCCATGGCCGATGACACTAGTATGGGAGGTCATCTGGCTACCGCGAGAGCGACCCAACTCGTCGACATCGTCCGATGATGGTGCCGCAAAGTCAGCCTCCGGAGGCTATCGTGGGTCGAGCCGGCAGTAGCCGTGACATGTGGTTCCACCACCCCTCGCAGGCTTTGCCTCTGACCGCCACCGTTCCCAGGCTACCTAATGGGATGGAAAGGAAGGCTGGGCGAGCGTATAGAAGCGTGCTCGACCTCGTCGTGGCAACCTGCACGGCAGCGCTGGTAGGCGCGATGAGCGTCGTGCCACCTGACCCAAGACGGGTCGCAGGCGTCGTACCGAGCGTGTCGAGACCGTGTCCTGATGTGATCTGCACGGGTGAGTCACGTCGGCGTCAAAGGAGCGACGTGCGACCTGTCAGAGCTTGATCTACGATCTCAGCGGCGTCGAGTCGCCTTCGGCGGCGACAATTCGGTACCTCCCCAGGACGCGCAGAGGCAGCTGCAACCCCGCCAACTGAACGGTTCCCACCGCGCCACCTCGGATAATAGGGGTCCATTCCTTTGACACCATTGCTTTGTGGCACTTGATCTAGTAGCATCCCCCCCCAAACCCCTCCCCCCCCCTCCCCCCCCCCCCTTCCCGCCCCCCCGCCCCCCCCCCCCCCCCCCTCCCCTCCCCCTTCTTTTTTTTTTCTTTTCTCTTCTCTTTCCTTTTCCTTCCTTTTTTTCTTTTTCTTTTCCTTTTCTTTTCCCTCCTTCTTCCCTTCTTTCTCTTCCTCTTTTCCTTTCTCCTTCTTCTTCCTTCTTCTCTCCCTTGTTTTTTTTCCCTTATATACGTTATTATTGAGTAGACTGCTGTCCCAAGCTGCCAAGCTGCCCCCCCGGAAGGCACCGAGAGGGACAATAGTCAAAATCAAAGTTTTGTAACGCGAGCTGTGCCACTTTGAAATGGAACTAGCCCTGATGCTCCGGGCCGACCCGTCCTGCCGACGGTGGCACTCTTCCACGTCTCGCTCACGCTGAGAAAAATTCTGAAACGGCGTGCAGCAGAGTCACCGACGAGTCGGTGCGCGTGACGCCTCGCGTCCCGCACCGTTCTCACACATCCATAAACTCACTTTGTTTGGCCTCACTGAAGCGATGCTCTGTCTGAATCCTGAATCCTCAGATTTTAGATTAGGACGCTGCGCACCCTTTACCACACAACACCCCCCACAGGTACGAATATGTGCACACACATGTGCATGTGTGGAGAGCGAGAGGGCTGAGCGTGTCCGCGAGCGCGTAGAGTAGTAGAGCGCGAGGAGAGCGCGCTCCCCCGCGTGCCGCTGAGTGTGTGGACAGCGGCGAGCGGGGCACGCGCAGGGGGCGGTGACGATGATCGCGTTGACGTAGTCGCGTCGTATAGAGAGCCGTTGAGGGGACCATGCGCTGAAGCGCGGGGCGGAGGGTCCCTCCCTCGTCCCCGCCTCCCGCTATGACCCCCCAGGCACACACCCACAGCAGCGTGACAGAGGCGTGTGCTTCGGAGAGCACCTACTCCTTCGCGTCCGCCGCAGGAGCCGCCTCCTTCGCGGGCGCCTCTTCCGGAGCAGCAGCGGCTGGGGCGGCGCCCGTCGCCTCCCCGGACATCCCGGCGGCCTTGTTGGCCTCCTTCGCTTTTTCAAACTCCTCCTTGAACTTCTGCGCGTTCTCGGAGTTGGCAAAGCGGATGGCGAGCGTCGAGTACTGCGTCTCAGTGGTGCCGTCGCGCCCCTCGGAGTAGTCGTGGCACTGCCAGACCCACGAGCGGTCCGAGCCCGCGTTCTCGGCGAGGCTTATTGTGGGCACCACGAAGAAGTTTGCGCAGATCTTCATCGTCTTCTCGCGACGCATGAGCAGGCGGACCTGGCCGCGGGTGGGCCGAGTCGTGGCGGGCCGAGGGCGTGGGGATCGGCGCCCGGCGCCGCTGCAGGGACGCCGGGCGGTCTGGCCGCGGGTGGGGACGCGAACGGGCGGCGGCGCGGGATCGCGAGCGGCGCGGCGCCTTCTTGGTCTCCTTGTGCTGGAGAAAGCGAACGTCACCCGTGCCCCGCTCCTTCCAGAGCTTCACCTCCTTCTCCCACGAGTCAGACTCCCACCGGAAGAGCTTCGCGCGCCTGGCCGGGGAGGGGCCGGCGCGGTCACGCGCCGCCCCGCGGGAACTGCGCGAAGCGGCTGCAGGGGCGCAAGGCGCACATCTTGAAGAGGACCTCCTCTTCGTCCTCCCCCGTGGTGGTCTTCACCTCATCCAGCTTGACCAGCGGCGTGAACTCCACGTTCGCCTCCTCCTCAGGCGCCGGCGCGTTGTCGTCCTCCTCGCCGCCGGCGGGCGCGGGCGCCGGCGCCTCTGCAGGAGCGGGCGCTGGTGCCTCTGCCTCCTGAGCGCAGGCGCGGGAGCGGCGCTGAGCAGAGCGCTCCAGCAGGCGCGGCGCGCGCGCTCCAGCGGCTGCAGTCGGCGAGGGGGGCGAGGTCGTGGGCACCTGCTTGGGCGGCTCCGGCTGCGGCGACGCCTCGGCCATTGCTGCGTGCGCGCCAGAGCGCCGCGATCACAAAAAAACGCGCTCCACGCTCGGGGCGAGCGCGTGAGGCTAGAGCAGGCTCGCTCGTCCTCTAGCAATCTCCGCCGGCCGCGAGGCCGGACTAGACCGTGTGTGGGGTCGTGTGAGGTGTCTCTGGTCACTCTCCTCAGAGGCTAGCCGCCAGCCGCTAGCCCTATCTCGCACTCACTGGCGGTGACAATTCTATGGGTGAGCGTATGCGAGTAGAGGCGCGTGAGCCGATTCTAGATCGCTTGCCATTGGCATATAACTTGGCTTGGCGTGCGACCTCAGCGCGCCCGCCGTCAGCTCGACGGGGCGCGCATGTCAGCGAGAGGTTTGCCGGTAGAGCGATCCCGGTCTTGTCGAACGCGAGCCCCACGCCACGGTTGCCAGCCGTGCCTTCGCGAGAGTCGCCCTCGAGCCGCGTCCCGTCGGCACTACCCTCGAGTGCGTGTCGTCTTGGTTGGCGACACCCACTCGTCGAGGGCAGTCCGGCCGACGGGAGCCTGTCGCGCGCCGGCGACGAATGCGGCGTGTGTGTGTGCGTACGAAGCGACGATGGCACGACCACCGCCCTGCTTCCTGACCGGGCAAGGAGGGGCCTACTCCCGTTCCGCGAGGAACAGGAGGTCTCCCCCCCTCCCCCGGCCTGAGCAGCGACGGGTGGACGGCAGCCCCTTCGAGGCTAGCAGGCGAGAGTCTACGCGGGGCTCACGAGCCGAGTCTCAGCCACACGCACCTCGCGCCTGTACTCCACCAAGTCAAGGTGAAAAGATGTTATCAGCCAGGCGGGCAGGGCAGGCGGGCAGGCGGGCGGGGTCAGGGAAGACTATTCCAAGACTCGCGAGGAGCTGCTGCTCCAACCTGTTCACAGATAGGGTGATAAGAAAACAAGAACCTCGCATACGACGACAGTGAGGGTGTGAGAGACAGACCCAGGGAAGGTCTTTCAATCGTTGCGCGGCCTTCGGGCGGGGCTGCGCCTCAGTGCCCCCCACCCCCCACCCCCCAGCATCCATGGAAGCCCCCAAGCATCCATGGAAGCCCCCAAGCATCCATTGAGACATCCAAGGAAACCCCCCAGGGAGACACCCCAGGGAGACACCCCAGGGAGACCCCTCGCGGCAAACGGAGTCCCTCCGACGGCTAGAAAAGAGGATCCGCCGTTTCGCCATCACAGCCGATCACCGGGCGGACGCCTAAAATCGGCGACGAACTATGAGCGACCCCCCCGATCCCGCGTGGCTTGACGCTCTCCTGGGCGGGACCGACGGCGTGGAGATCCCGCCTCAGTCGCAAGGTCCCGGCCCAATCGCGCTCAGTCAGATGTACCGTGACGCAGCCATGCTGGAGCAGGAGTCGTTGGCACTCGCCGCCGAGTCGCAAAAACGCCGATTTGAGTCCGAGATGCCCTCGGCAGTCCCCAAGATGGCGAAGACGTCTGTCTCTCAGACGCACGTCTCGACTCCCGCCACGGCCTCGCCTGCCGGGCCCCAAAACGCCGGCAACGGAGGGCGGTGCTTCAGGTGCGGCCGGGCGGGCCACTGGTCCCGCGACTGCACCCACATTGCAATGGCCATGACCGCTCGCATGTCCTCGCCCTGCCACGTCTGCGGCGGCAGGATCAACCCCACCTCCGACCGCATCTGCCGGCTCAGCGTCGGGCCGTACGCGGGCAAGTGGGCGCACCACAGCTGCGCTCTCAACCATCTCGTCAACCTCGGCTTTATCACCGCCGAGGACGCGAGCAACGTGGAGATCTGAGCCCGCCCTGCCCACACTCATCACTTATCCCTCCTTTCCACTGTCCCCCCCCCTTGCCCTTTGCCCTCGGCATGTGAGGGTGCTTCACTTCTGCTTGTGTGTGTCGTAGCGTGTCTATCAGAGCCCGAACGCATTCCCGTTATCGAATTCGGACCCGATTTTTGGAATCTCCACGTACGTAGTACCTACGTACCCCAGGGTACCTAGGCACCTAGCCAAAGTCTCACTTTGGCACTGGTGCTTAGGCCTTGTTCACAGCTAAAGCCCAACTTTGGCACGGCCTGGTTCACAGCCGAAGTCCAACTAGGCACTACGGGCACATACAGAGCACGCGACAGTGTATCTTGCCGGCTCTGACTCTTGGTCTCTCTCTGCGACGGGAACAGCGGACGATGCGCAACACTCGACTTTGGCGACAGCTGCAGGTTACGAGCGCAGCGCCGTCGCCAGACATGCCGGAAGTAACACTGCACCGACACGTTGCACTGGAGGTAGCGGCCTATGGTCCTGGCCAAAGTATGGGCTTTGGCAAGGTCGACTGTGGTAGGGACGTCTCAATGGATGCTTGGGATCAAACCGTCCGTGAAGAGTGCTTGATTCACGGACAGCGAGGCTGGCCGCACAGCGAGGCTGGCCGCAAGCGGAGCTCCCCACCGGCGGCGGGTTTGAAGACACTGAGCTCGGAGCAGTGACGACCCACCCACACGCTGCTCAACCCCAGGGGCGGGGCTCGCCACGCCGCGCCGCGCGCCACGAGCGATCGTGGATCGCCGTCGACGTCAGGGCATCGCCGTCCCGGCGTCCCAGAGCAGCGTCTATTCAGGGCGACGCCGCTCACGCCATTTAGAGCGGTGTCAGCTTAAAGCAATCGCTGCTCTTACTAGCTAGAGCGGTGTTCACTCAGCAAAGTCCCGCTCTGAAGAGGAGGAGCGAAGGAGAGCGCGGCTGAGGGAGGCGAAAGCAGCCTCTCCGCGGAAATTGACCGCTCCCGCTATGTTGAGCGGTGTTGCACTGTCTTGACTCCGCTCGAACGCTACCTTACAGCCCCTGCCCGAGCTCAGGCTCGACACTTTCATAGTGGACAGTCGGTCTAGTCGCGATTCGGCGCGATTCGGCACAGTCTCTCGTTCCATCGTCCATGCTTGCTCTCGCGATGCTGGCAGGCAGCCAGCCGGCCGCCTCCTGCGATCGGCCGCTGAGAGCTTGCTACGATGCCATGGGCGGGCAAAGCTGGAAAAACGCGGCGGGGCGGTCGTGGCTCGACGCCAATATTCCGTGCTGCGAGAAGGCGTTTGTCACCTGTCACAAGGAAAAGGAGGAAATTCGCAAGATCGCGTGGCGGAGCATAGCGGGCCTGATGGGCACCATCCCACCGCAGCTTGGTCTCCTCACGAGCCTCGGGGAGATCAACGTCGAGAGGACAGACCTCTCGGGGACGCTACCGGACGCCCTCTTCTCTGCGAGCTCCGAGATCGAAAAGGCGCCTCTCCCCCCTGCCCGTGCCTCCCCGCCGCCCAAGCGACATTGCTCAAGCCCTATGAGCGGTGGACGGTGCCAGCTGACGAGCCTCAAAGTGACGCTCACAGCGAGCGCCCGCCTCTCCCTTCGCGCGCAGCTCAGGATCAAGCGGACCTCCATCACGGGCACCCTCCCTCCCTCCCTCTTCCTCTCCGGCACACTCGAGAAGGTCGTTGCCACCCTCGCCGCCGCCGCCATCTCCACCGCCATCTCCACCGCCCTCAACTCCTCGCCTCCGCCGCCATCACCCTCGCCACCTCCTCGCCTCCGCCGCCATCACCCTCGCCACCTCCACCCTCGCCACCTCCACCCTCGCCACCGCGCCCTTAGGTCTCCGCAAAGAAGTCGGGCCTCTCGGGCACCATCCCACCCACGATCGGGATGGCGACGAAGCTTGAGGAGAGTCGCGCTGCCGCGCCGCGCCGCACCCTCCAGCAACCCACGCGCGGCCGCCACAACGACCCCTCGCCATCCCTTCCCTACATCACAGGAGATCGACCTCGAAGAGAGCGTCAACTGCGGCAAGATCAACAGCAAAGATTGGAGGAGGGAGAACTGCAAGGGCTTCTCGGGCACCATCCCGCCCGAGATAGGGATGGCAACAAAGCTGGAGGCGCCGGCCCTAGATCAGTAGCGGAGAGGCAGAGTGCTTCTCACCCGGGGAGGCGCTCAGCTGGAGGCTCTTGCTGCCGCTTTGCCGCACAGGAGATCAACACCGAAAAGAACGTCCTCTCGGGCACCCTGCCGGCCTCCCTCGCCCTTCTGAGCAAGCTCAAGGCGCGCGCCCCGCGAGGAGAGACACCGACGCAGAGGCGGCCACGGCGCCGGCCCCTCACCTCTCGTCTGCTCGCCGCCGCTCAGACACTCAAGGTCGCCGACAGCCTCCTCTCCGGCACCATCCCGCGCGGCCTGCACGTCAGCAGGCGCGCGCGCCACACTGCCCTCCGTCCCCGCGGCCCCGGCGGTCGGGCGGTGCCCCCTCTCCCTCCACGTTCGGTGCTCTCTGTCGTGGTAGGGAGTGTGACTTGGTCGATGCAAACCCGCCGCCGGCCCCGCACCCGCCCGGCAAGGGGCGGAGGCTCGGCGAGGCAAGGCCGGGCGGCGCTGCGCCTCTAAACGCCGCCTCCAAGGGGGAGGAGCAGCAGCAGGGCGGCGGCGAGCGGCGCAAGCTGCTCCAGGGCGTGCAACTTGCGCATTCGCCGCCCCACGCCGGCTGGGCCCCCGCGCCGCCGCTCTCCAACTGGGGTGTGCGGGGCGAGGCGGGCGGCTTCCCCGGCCTGCTCGCGAAATGGGGCGGCTGGAACAAGGGGCCCGAGGGCGACAGCCCGCTCGACCCGTGGGACCGCGGCAGGCTGTACGACGGACGGGTTAAGGTGCTGTGGCCCCACTGGGTGCCGATAGCGGAGAGGTAGCAGCAGCCAGGAGTGGGCAACTCCAATTCCTCCCGACAGCCACTCGCCCCGCCCCGCGAGACGCGCGCAGCCGCCCCCTTACTGTGCAGGCGCCGGGCACGGATGGCAACCACTTTGACTGCCCACTCCCAAACGACTTGCCCGAAACGTGCCGCAGAAAGGCGGTGTGTGTGTGGGAGAAGAGGTTTCCCTATCCGCCGCACCCGCCGTATCCGCCGGCGCCGCCGCCCGATCCGCCATCGCCGCCGCCCTCACCGCCCAAGAAGCCGCCACCGCCACCGCAGCCGCCGCCGCCGCCGCCGTTGCAACCGTCGCCGCTGCCGCCGCCGCCCTCGTCGCCGCCGCCGCCTCTGCCACCGCCATCGCCACCGCCACCGCCATCGCCACCGCCATCGCCATCGCCGCCCTTTGACGTTTTCACGTTCTGGTTCATCGATCCACCAAACCCGCCGCCCTCGCCACCGCTGGCGCCATCGCCGTCGCCGCCATTGCCGTCATCGCCTTCGCCGACGAACCCGCCGCCGCCGCCCCCAAAGCCCCCCGAGGCGCCCGCGCCAGAGGGTGTGAACTCGGTGGTGCCCCTCCTCCTCGTCGCTGTGAGCTCCTTTGTGGGGGCGATGGCGCGCCCCCAGAAGCGGAAGACAGACTGTTTGCATACTGGCACTCGAGGGAGGACACGCATTCGGCGGTATTCGTTCGTAGCCCTCGTCTTCGCGTGAAGCTCCGAATATCGCACTCACGCCCTGGCTGCGATGTACACTCACGCTGTAGGCGTATGTTGGCTACGGGGGAGGGACGATGTCCTTCCGCCGCATGGAGGACGAAGGCAAGTCAGGGCGCTTTTCAGAGCGCGAAATCAACAAGCTCGAGCGCGGGTTTGCCGGAGCCACAGCGGCCAGCGAGGCGTCACGCTCGCCACAATATATAGTAGTGCTCGAGTCGTGAGCAGCCTTGAATCTGACCCCTACCCACGCGACGCGCACCCACGCACCGCACACCGCCCCCCCCAAAAAAACCCGCGGTTGGCCCCCCCCCCCCCCCCCCCCCCCGCCCGCCCGCCCGCCCCCGGAAGGTGGAGGCGGAGATGCAGAAGCGGGCAGACGAGTTCGCGCGGGGGCTGGTCGCGGACGACGAGGGCGGAGGAGACGCAGAGACCAACGCCTCCATTGTTTCCGAGACCTGGGAGCTGATCGCAGTGACGCCGCCCAGAGTTCGAGCCGCACTTAGTGTGGGCCCGGCCGGGCACGTCCGCCTTCAACTAACTCTCCACGTCAACGCTGGAGACTCGAAGATCAGCTCCCCGGCACCCACCACGAGCCCGGCGGAGGTGGCAGTCAGCGCCTCCTCCTCCGGCTCCTCCTCCTACGACATGCCCACGGGGGAGGGGGCGCCATCGTCCGCCATGAGGGACGCCGTCGAGCGCATCGTGCATCCGCCTCAGCGTGCGGACGTCAACTCGGCGGCGCAGCGAGCGGAGATGCACGACCCGTCGCGACCGGCTGACCAAGCAGGCCTTCGCGACCAACGCGGCCGGTGACACCGCCGAGGCGGCCTCTTCGCGCAGGCGAGCGGGTTCGACCCGCGTCCGACGACGATCCTCTCGCATGTCAACATGCGCCTCAAGCTGGGCGAGTGCGAGCTCGCGGCGGCGTGCTACGAGCGGCTGCTCGCCGGCGAGACGCTGAGCGAAACGGCATGGTACATCGCGCTGCGGCGCGGCATGCCGAGGCGCTACTGGCGGAGGAGGAGAAAGCCCAGGCAAAGCGAGCCGATGCCACCGTCGTCGAGCAGCGCGGGAGCCGCGAGGGCTGAGCGAGGGAGCTTCCTTGTCAAATTCTTTTCTTTGAAGTGGCATACCTAAGATTCTTTTGCCGCCACTTCTTTTTAGTATTTAGAGAGACCGGCATTGTACGCCGGCGGCGGAGCTGCTGCCTCTTTCGGAGTTCTCGTCTGCCAACGAATTCTTACAGCAGGCGCAGCGGTGTACACCTCCGGCGTACACCATCGCAACTGGCTCACCCTCGCCGAAGCTTTCGTCACCGAGGCGTCCCAGCGGGGCGGCCGGGCTGCAAGCAAGGCAGGAAGACTGGCAGGTGCAAGAACCACAAGTGCTGGCGCGAGGCGATCCGTTTCGTCGCAGTTAGCCAGGAGGGGGCTGGCGCCTTCCTGAATGCGATCCCCATGCGGGATGGTATGCGGGCCGCGGCGAGTCGAGTCGGAGAGCCGAGCCGCACCAGCAGCAGCATCTGCACCAGCAGCAGCAGCACCAGCAGCAGCAGCAGCAGCAGAGAGAGGCGCCAATTTTGAGGTTGCCCGAGACAGCCTGGAGATGGCCCCGCGTTGTAGCCCCGGTGCCGGCGCCTCACATCTCACTCAGCATCCAGGGGCCGGTTCCGCCGCGCAGTCGAGCAGCAGGAGCTCGGGCACAGCTTTGTCGACAAAGAGCTTGAGCACAATTTCGGCGAAGAAGCGTCACCGGCGGCACGCCGGGATGAATCCGGACCGATGACATTGTTCGGCACCGCGACGGCGAGCCGCCGCGGGCCCACAGGAGGGCTCGGAGCCGAGGCACCGGTCCGCGCCGCCAGCGGGGCGAGAGCACCAGCCTACAACCTGCCGACATGGCAGTTGCGACGGCGCTTTCACACACACACACACACACACACACACAGATAGCGAGTCCGCCTCGAAGACGCCGGTGCATTTCTTCCTCTTCGCGGACGCACCAAGTCGCTCGCTTTGCCAGACGCCCGCAGGTGCCAGCCAGCGTCCCACTCTCGCGAGGCTTGTCAGGGGGCGGGGCTCGAGCGGGGGGGCGCGAGTCACACCCGAGAGAGGATGAGCGGGCCGAGCGCGCGCACGGAGTTGCCCTCGCTGACCCCTCCCCCGCGCGCGCAGGAACTGCGCGCCCATCGGTTTGCAAGGATGCCCGGAGGCAGCGGCTCCAACCCAATGATGCAGACCTACGCGGTCACCGTGCCGCCCGGCGTCGGGCCGGGCCAGCAGTTCCAGGCCTCGCTGGACGGGCAGCTGACCATGGTGATTGTGCCGCACGGCAGCGGGCCCAACAGCACGCTGCACGTGCAGATTCCCGCGCGCCCGTCCAGCGTACAAAAGTACGCGGTGACGATCCCGAGCGGCGTCTCGCCCAATGGTCGCTTCCAGGCCAATCTTGGCGGGCAGCTCGTGTGGCTCGTGTGCCCCGCAAACATGGGTCCGGGCAAGCAAATGCTAGTGGATGCCAACACCGCGGCGAGCGGCAAGGGGCAGGCAAAGACGTGGCCGCCGCCGATCGCCGTGCCTCAGGACATGGACGGCGGTGCGCTACGCTCCCCTCCCCGTCCGCTGGGACCGACCCGCGCCCCCCCTCCCCCCCCCCCTCCCGGCGCGCACCGCGCGCAAAGCCGCCGTCCGCCTTCGCTCACTGCTAGATGTTTCTCGCAGGCGACAATGTGCCGGACTACTTCCTCTGCCCGATCACGGGCTGCTTGATGCGGCAGCCGGCCATGACGCCCGACGGCGTCACCTACGACTACGACGCTATCGTCGAGTGGTGCGCCAACAGTCGCGCCGCGACGGCGCCGCCGCCGCCCACCGCCGCCGACCCCGCCCCCGCCCCCTCGCCCCGCAGGCTCCAGACAAAGCAGACGGACCCCTCGACCAACCAGCCTCTCACTCCCGACTCGCTTTGCCCCAACCGCACCGTCCGGTCGATGATAGAGGACTTCATCGCCAAGGGGCCCGACTTTCTGTTCGCAAAGTGAGCCTCGCGGCGCTCCTGGCAGTCGCCATCTGTGATTGATTAGATGTAGTGCATGGGGCCGCTGCGGCCGCTGCGGGCGAGGCGGTCCGACGAGGCTGCGGGGCGGCGCGCGCCAGCGGGAGCGCGCGGCCGCGGACCCACTTGCCTTTGTGGGGTTGTGCTGTCTTGTTCCACACACGGCTTCTGGCTCGGGGTAGGCCCCGGGTTGTACTGAGGCGCGCGCACCAGGCGGGTCCGAGTACTGCGCGGAGAGAAGCCTGTGTGGCTGTGCGGTAAGATCGTTGCGGTTCGGCGCCACAATCGAATGCACAAAGCTGCCAGACGATGTACTAGAGGTGAGTTGTGACCGCGGCTGGAGTGCGATGTAATGTAAAACAGCATAAAAGAGTGCGCCAATCGTAGTGGCCCGAAACCCATTCGTTGTTGAGAAAAAATACACCGTGTGAGGTGTGTGTGTTGTGTGGTGTGTGTGTGTGTGTGTGTGTGTGTGTGTTGTGTGTGTGTGTGTGTGTGTGTGTGTGTGCGCTGGTCTGTCTGTGAGACTGAGAGGTTGAGGTGCGAGCCCTGTTCACCACGGATCGCTACAAGGTGGCAAATTCAGAGCTCGCATGTCGCTGCCGCAAACAGGCCGCTCCGAGGCAGAGATGGCAGCCGAGGGCACGCTACCTCTCGTGCGCCACGCCGCTTGCGCCGTCGCCGCCGCCTCGGCAGTGTACGCGACGACTCTCGCGCTCTCCGGCGGCAGTCACGATGTGGCAGAGGACATAACCGACTTTGTGCACAGCGCAGCCGCAGTGCGTGCGTCGAGCCAGAGCGCGCTCTCGTTCGAACGCACCCGCTCAAAGCACGCGATAGCGCTGAGGCCCGCCGACGACGCCGCAGCTCGCCGCTTTCTCTGCGCCTCGACAGCCTACTTTGGCGCCGACGCCTGTTTCGTGTGCGTGCAGCTCTCCCGCGGCGTCAGGCCCCGGCTATGGGCCGGCCGGCTCGCACACCATGCGGTGCAATTTGCCGCAAACGGCCCCGCGCTGGCTGGCTCGTCCGGGCGCGCCGTGCGGCCCTACTTGATGCTCGCATACATGGCAGAGGCGAGCAATCATGACCCCGGCCCTCACACATTTCCTCGCAGCCTCGCTGGCGGCGATGCGGCGCCCGCCCTCGATAGGTCTCCACCCTCTTTCTCCGGCTGCGAAGTCTCTTGCGACGGGCGGCGCCCGAGCGGGCCGGTCTGATCCGGGCAACATCGCGGCTCTTGTTGGCCTCGTTTGCGGTCACGCGGCTGCTCAACTTCCCGCTCTGCACGGCGCTCATCTGGGCCAGGCCCGCGGCCGGTGCTCTGCCCTGTCGGAGCAGCCCCCGTCAGGCGCTGAGCGCAGCTCCTGCCCCGCCAGACGCGACGTGCTGCGGCCCGCCATCTTGAAGCTGCACCTCGCCTTCGCCGCCGCCGGAATCACGCTCAACGCAGGCTGGTTCGTCGCGCTGCTCCGCAGCGCCAGCAGAGAGGCGGGCAGCGGCCGCCGCCGCGTCGCCCCTGCCTCGGAGGGCTAGGACTCGCCGGCGACTGGACTCCCCACGCCGGATTTTTATATAGCAGCTCCTCTCTACCGAGAGCTGTCTTTCTCGCCCGAGGCTCGCCGTGGCCCCACACGGCAGCCTCTGCTCGCGTTTTCGAGCCAGGACCTTCGTCCGGGCCCATGGCCGGCACGCCATCGTCGATTCCACGCGCTCGGCTCCACCGGCTTGCTGCTCGGACATTACCGATCATGACGAGCGGCGAAGGAGTGCTCCGCTGGGTCACGCCACGGGGGCCCGCCGCCTCAGATGCGACTTTCGGATGCGGTAGGGCTCGCACGAGCGCCTGTCCAGTCTCCGCTAGACCGGACTGGGGGCGGGCCCTGCTATATAAAATTGAGCTTGGGTAGCGAGAGGAGGGAGAGCAGTTAGGTTGGTTGAGTTCTTAAGAAAAGAAACTGAAAAAAGAAACGAACGAGCGGTGACGGCGAACCGCGCTCTGGTCTCGTCTCTCGAAGGGTCCCGTCTCTGTTCGTGCGAGGAGGCTCATCGAACGGTACTCCGGCAGCCTGCGACATGACCAGGGCGCCTCTCCTTCTGCTCGGCCTCAGCACGAGCTGCGCCGCGGCTTACCTCGCCTCTGTCGCCGCACCGCGCGCCTCCCTCAACCGCCTGCCGGAAGCGCGCCCTTCCGTCAGCATTTTCGGCAGAGACGCGACGTGTCTCGCGGTGGGTGCCGCATTCCCTTCACCGCCGCCTTTGCGAACCGCGCAGCCGCCCGCAGCCACGACGTCGCCCACCGCCCCGGAGCTTTACGAGCGTGCGGTGCTGCTGCAGCAGATGCGTCGTCGGGATGAATCTCTGCGCACGTTTGAACGGCTCGCCGAGCTCACGCCGGGAGATGGGCGCGTCTGGATGCGCATGATGACGCTGCACAAGCTCGAGCGCCGCTGGGGCCGCGCCGAGGCGACGCTGCGACGCGGCATCGAGGCGCTCCCGCAGAACGCGCTGCTTCGGCAGGCGCTTGGCGACCTCTGCCGCGAGCGACAACGGTGGGACGAGGCGCGCGCACACTTTGCGCAGGCGGCGAGACTCGACCCGCAACTGCGTTCCGTGTACGACTCGTGGGGCCGGATGGAAGCGAGCCTCGGCCGGCACACCTTCGCCGCCGAGCTGCTCCAGCGCGGCCTTGAGCTTGAGCCCACCGCGCGCACCTACCACGCGCTCGGCGTGCTACAGGCCTGCGCCCCCCCCCCCCCACCACCACCACCAAGATCCGCCCAAGCCCTCCCGCTCCCCTCCCGCCCGCGCCCGCTCTCGTCCTGCGGTGGCCTCGCTCACTTCTCCGCGCGTCTCGCCTGCTCTGAGCAGGACTCGAAGCTGGGACAGAGGGACCGGGCGCGTGAGACGCTACGGCGCGGCCTTCGGCTTCCGGACGAGCACCGCAACCCTCAGGCGCCGCAGCATCACCCTTCCTCCGCACACCCATGCACACCACCCTGCGCTGTGCCGAGGACGAACCCTCGGCTGCCCCCCGCTCCGTCCCTCACGGCACTGCCTCTGCGCATAGTTACTGCACGCGCTGGGCAAGCTCGAGGCTGCCGCCGGCAACGCGCCCGCCGCGCGCGCGCACTACCTCGCCGCCATCGACGCGGCTCCTTCCTTCACTATGGCGCACCTCGCTCTCGGCACGACGCCCCCCCCCCCCCCCCCGCCCCCCTAGGCGCGCCGGCTGTATGAGCGGGCCTGCCGGCACCACCCGAAGGACGCCCGCCTCCTCAGCGAGTGGGCGAGGCTCGCCGCGGAGCTCGGCGATCCGGCGCAGGCGCGTGCCATCTTCCCGGCTACATCTCGGCTATCTCTCGGCTATCTCTCGGCTATCTCTCGGCTATCTCTCGGCTATCTCTCGGCTATCTCTCGGCTATCTCTCGGCTATCTCTCGGCTATCTCTCGGCTATCTCTCGGCTATCTCTCGGCTATCTCTCGGCTATCTCTCGGCTATCTCTCGGCTATCTCTCGGCTATCTCTCGGCTATCTCTCGGCTATCTCTCGGCTATCTCTCGGCTATCTCTCGGCTATCTCTCGGCTATCTCTCGGCTATCTCTCGGCTATCTCTCGGCTATCTCTCGGCTATCTCTCGGCTATCTCTCGGCTATCTCTCGGCTATCTCTCGGCTATCTCTCGGCTATCTCTCGGCTATCTCTCGGCTATCTCTCGGCTATCTCTCGGCTATCTCTCGGCACAGGCGCGTGCCATCTTCTCGCGCGTGCTCGCGCTGCGGCCCGCGCCGCCCGCCTACGCGTGGCGCGCGGCGGCGGCGCTCCAGGTGCGCGAGGGTAACATCTCAGAGGCGCGCGAGCTGTTCGTGCGCGGGGTCTCGCACCAGCTCCGCCGGCTGCGGCCGGGGGACAACGCCGCCGCCGAGGCCGTCGTCCCTCTCGTCCACGCGTGGGCGGTGTGCGAGTGGAAGCACGGCGCAGCCGCCGACGCGCGCGCGCTCTTCCGACGCGCCGAGTTGCTCGCCCCCTCGCCATGCGCGTGGGTCTTCCTGTGGCGCGCGCGGTTCGAGGCGTCGTGCGGCGAGGCGGGCTCGCACCACTTGGCGCGGCACTACTACGCGCGCGCCGTCAACGCGGCGCCGTTTGACCCGATGATCTGGCGGCTGTGGGCCGAGCTCGAGGCGGCGCACGGGGACGCCCCGCGGGCGGCCCTCTACTCGAAGCGTTCGCAGGAGGTCGAGACGCTCTCCGCATTGCGAGAGCGGAGCGATGCCAGCCCCTCTCCGTCGCTCCGCCCCCCCTCACCGGCTGCACCGAGGGCCACCCTCAGCTGAGTGGCTAGCGAGTCCGCGCCGCCCCTCCAACTATCCAGTGTATCCTTTGACATCACCCACTTCGCGGTCGTTCGACTCTCCGGTCGTGCGACCTTCTCCTCTTGAAGCTGCTCCACTTGGGCGAGTGGGTCTATGAGACTCTAGAGCGCCAGCCCCCCCCCCCCCCCCCCCGGAGGGGTTATCCATTGAGGTTTATTGGTTAAAGCCGCGACGTACTCGTACTACGGCTCTACCTCTGGCTAGTCCAATTCACTGTGGCACAGCTCGCGGTACCGCTTACGCGTTACAAAACCTTGATTTTGACCATTTGCGCCATTTTGTCCCTCTCGGTGCCTTCCAGCCTTCCAGAGGAAGCTGCGACCCCGCCGAGACCCGAGTAGACGGGCGCACACAGCAGGTGGCGCGGTGTGCGCCCGTCCACTCGGCGGGGTCGCAGCTGCCTCTCTGCGCGTCCTGGGGAGGGACAAAAGTCTAAAGTGTCGCCGCCGAAGGCGACTCGACGCCGCTGAGATCGGAGATCAAGCTCTGACAGGTCGCACGTCGCTCCTTTGACGCCGACGTGACTCACCCGTGCAGATCACATCAGGACACGGTCTCGACGCGCTCGGTACGACGCCTGCGACCCGTCTCGGGTCAGGTGGCACGACGCTCATCGCGCCTGCCAGCGCTGCCGTGCAGGCTCGTGCCACGACGAGGTCGAGCACGCTTCTATACGCTCGCCCAGCCTTCCTTTCCATCCCATTAGGCAGCCTGGGAACGGTGGCGGTCAGAGGCAAAGCCTCTACGAGGGGTGGTGGAACCACATGTCACGGCTACTGCCGGCTCGACCCCACGATAGCCTCCGAAGGCTGACTTTGAGGCACCATCATCGGACGACGTTCGACGAGTTGGGCAGGGGGTGTGCGGCGTGTGGGAGAACACACCGTGTGCCACCCCTCTGTCGGGAGACGCCTGCCCTGCGCAGTTCACACCCGCATCTCGCGTTTCTTTTAGTGCGCGCCAGTCCCGTGCCCAGTGTTGACAACTGAAGTCTTCTGGAGAGCATTTTTCCAAAACCCTCAAGGGGGTGGAGTTCGCCGCCACGATCCCCTCACCGAGGCGGCTTTTCTGGCTCTGTGCTGGCGATGCACAGGTTGCTCCTCTACGCTCTCGCTGCCATGAACGGCGGTCCCTTCTCGTCCGACCCAGTGGTGCAAGAGGACTACATTTCACCTCTTCCCGGTGCTCTGCGTCGCAGCCTCATGGACATCCACGCATCCGGCCGATCAAAGCACAGCGCCGTCCCGTGGCGTCCGGAGATGGATTCCTTCGTGCTGCTGCGCCACGTCCGAGACGGCATCTCGTTGCCAAAGGTGGCAGAGCAGTGGCCGTTTGAATCCGCCACCAAACGAAGCAAAGATGCATCAAGTGGCGATGGAAAAAGGTTCTCAAAAGACTCGACGCTCTCGACGACCTCCGACTGATCTGTGGATCCTGCGACGAGCGCGAGGAGGCGGAGACGCAGCTGAACACCGAGGCAAGCCTGCAGCCGTGGGTCGAGGACGCTCTCGTGAAGCTGCACGCGCGAAAAACGTGTCGATGAACTCAAACTACACTCCGTGGACGCTCGAGGAGGACCGCCTACTGCTGCACTCGTACCAGAGCGGCGCGAAGATCACTGACATTCGCGTGAGTAGCCGATCCGCCGAAGCAATCAAGCTCCAGCTACGCCGACTTCAGAACGTCACGCCACTGGTACGCGACGCGCACCACAAGAGCCGCTGCGACCCGGAGGCGCCATATCAGGACCTGCAGAACGACATCTGGACGCCGATCGACTCGACCCTCGCTCTACCGCCGTGCGCGCAGATCGACTGGATTCGCGGCGTCGCAAAGGTGCCTCCCTTACCCTGTTCGCCTGCACGCGTGCGTGATCATTCGGCTAACTCCAACGACTAGTGAAGCCATACCCTCCCAAATTCGCATCTCCTCCGTCATTCATCACCCAATCATATCAGACCCCACCGTCCCCGAGATTTCTTCAGCTTACGTCACTGGCCTCGCGACCGACGGCAGCGCCGAGCTAGACCCAGACGGCCTCCCAACATACTCCTCCGCTACTGACACTATCTCTCTCTTCGCCATCCCGCCCCACCTCACTCAAACGGCGCGCTGCGCTGACAGTCCTGAGCCTACACGCCTACACACCACGCGCACACGTATTGCAGTCTCGTTATCAGCACTAAATCACTGTCGCTATCTTAGGAACGTAGCGGCAACCCACACCTCCACTTCTGCCGATCTCTCTCGCGTACTTCCTCCATGCCTTCACCATCGCTTATCCCGACACTTCTCTCCACCTGCCACCCTC